AGCCACCTGGCTATGAATCATATAGAAGTAATTAATGACAAACAAGAAGCTGCTAAGCCAGGATGCGTTTATCTACCTCATCATGCAGTTGGTTGTTCGCGAGGACAAAAGTACAACGAAGGTCGGCGTTGTTTTCGACGCTTCGTGTAAGGGTACCAGCGGCAAGTCATTGAACAATGATTTATTGGTAGGTCCAAGGCTTCAACCAGAGTTACGACACATAATTATGAAATGGCGTACTTATCCTATATGTTTCGCAGCGGACATAGTTAAGATGTATCGAATGGTCAAGGTCGTACCAGAGCATACTGACTTCCAGATAATGTCACAAGGGTACTATCAAATGTAAGAAATCTAAAATTGTAAGACCAGTCTCCAAACTTTGCATTTTGCCTATCGCTTTTTAACATTACTTACCTGAATAACTGTAGATATTTCATGCAATGTATGTAACTTAAATGTATCTTTGGATGCATCAGCTATTAAGTATTTTGTTATTGTTTAGTTGTAAGTAAGTACGAACTGTTTAAAAGCAACCCTTGACTGAACTTTGTCGTTATTATGGCTTCTTTAATGTGTAAGTTTATATTTAGTTCATGTTGAGCAGTTCTTTCTTGATTACTATTAGGTTAAGATGTTACGGTTTCATGGAGATGTTAATTGTACATGTAAAATTTGATGGCCTCATTGTTGGCTATGAACTTTTGTAGTTCATGGTGGGCGGAATGTTCACCCTGTTTTTTCCAACTCCTAAAACCGTCACTAGAGAGCGCTGTAATACGAAAATCCGTTGTCATGATACCCTTGTCATAAGTGACACTGTATCCTAGATAATTGATTTTTATTGAATATACAAGTTTTTCTAATCCAAGTTTATTTTCATAATCATCCCTCGGAAAGTCGAACAAGGGGACAGTTAATGTTTTGCTTTTATTAATGTTTAATATAGCGTGGTCTTGTTTTATTATTGTTTTAATATTACCATAAATTATCATTGTCTAATTATAATTGCATAAGTTGATAAAAACTGCTATGCGTTTTTATTTTGTTTTTTTTTTGTTTCTTTGTTTGTCTTCTAAATGATTCATTGTTTGTCTACCCTTTGCTTCTATGCTCTTGGTATGAGCACAAAATCTATCATCACAAACTTTCTTAATAGACTTTGGAATTAACTTGACGTCAATGATCTGAGAAGTGATCCAAGATAATCTTATCAGCATCGCTTTAAATTCAGATTTCAAACATTCAACCTGGAACTGTAATTTTTATCGACGGTGCAATAACAAGTTCTGAATGGAACTTTTTTTTTTTATTGCCTTTGTAGGCAGACGGGCATACGGCCCACCTGATGGTGAGTGGTTACCGTCGCCCATGGACTTCAGCAATGCCAGGGGCAGAGCCAAGCCGCTGCCTACCGCTTAATACTCTCCATAAGCCTCGTTTGAAGAAGGACATGTCATAGCGCTCGGGAAACACCGTGGAGGGGAGCTCATTCCATAGCCGGATNGGTTACCGTCGCCCATGGACTTCAGCAATGCCAGGGGCAGAGCCAAGCCGCTGCCTACCGCTTAATACTCTCCATAAGCCTCGTTTGAAGAAGGACATGTCATAGCGCTCGGGAAACACCGTGGAGGGGAGCTCATTCCATAGCCGGATGGTACGTGGCAAAAAAGATCTCTGGAAACGCATTGTGGATGACCGCAGTGGCTCCAGGTAGTATGGATGAACTCTACTCCGGTGGCGGGCGGTGCGATGGTAAAAACGAGATGCTGGTACCATCTCGAACAATTCCTCAGAGCACTCCCCATGGAACATAAGGTACAAAATACAGAGGGAACCGAAGTCCCTCCGCAGACCCAGAGGCTCCAAACGATCCGCTCCTCAATGACCTGATCGTAATTGAAACTCTTTCAAACACACCAGAAAAGGGTCATTGGTCATGGTTATTTTTAATGAATTTCAACGATAGTACAATTACTAACGGCCGTCTGGTGTAGTGGTAAGTAACATGGTCACTACACAAGGGGGTCACGGGTTCGAATCCCACCAAGAGAATATATTTGTATGATAAATATAAAATGGCTTTTCCAGGGCTTACATTTATTTTCGTTATCTGGTACCCGTAACACAAGTTTTTTACGAACCTAGTACGGAACCAGTTAACGTGGCGTGATTGTTAGTAAATATTTATTTATAAAAAAAAAATGCATTTGATATTATAGCTGAACGTCCATTGGTTGATTTTCTTGAATAAACAAAGCTAATTATATATCGCCAGTAGGCGGCTTCTTCTTCTTATTCTTGCTTCGGTTTCCTCAATACTGAAGGTCGTGACCACCTCCTCGCAACAGGAGTTTCTTCCGGATCATTCCACGCCATTTGCTCCTGTCTGCCGCCGAGTGTAGAGCATCGTGAACTGTGGTGTCAAGGGTAGTGTGGATCTGGTCAGTCCAACGTGTGTCCACCTTGCCAGTCACCATTAGCTTCCCCAAGTAGGCGGCATCTTGGGAAGATATCTTACATGCCAAATCAAATCAAACGTATACTCATATTTGACTAGATGATCGAACAAATTCAATTAAGTATGACGTCCAAATTGAATTTAAATGATTTTGACTTTAAATATTTCCGAATTAATTATCCCAAAGTTCACTAGATGATCAGACGATCGTGAGTTTTTTTGTTGATGGAAAATTATTTGGCTTTTGTTTTGTTTAACACCGAACAGCCGTTGTAACTATACTTGACCTTAGAACTTATATCTCAAGGTGGGTGGCGCATTTACGTTGTAGATGTCTATGGGCTCCAGTACCACTTAACAACAGGTGGGCTGTGGCCTCGCCCATCCATCTAAGCAATAAAAAAAACCTCAAAAAAACAATGGAATAATTAGAATTAGTTGTTGGTTCTAATTGATACTTTTTTATAAATGCCATCAAATTTGCTATAAATATGTGCACCGTGAACCCGCAACCCTAAGAAAAATAATACTTAGCGTGCATAAAATAAAGTAGTTATTGTATAAACATAGAATTAAAAATGAAATTTAGTCTTTCAGCTCATGTCTTAAGGTCGATAGATACGTTTCGCAACTCAACCCAAAACTAGAGATTGGCCATCTAATGCAAAAAGTCTTTTGTGTATTCTTTTATTTTTCGTGCATTGATCTCCATAATTATTCTCGACGAGAGCTGGCCCTTAATAAGGCACGTTCGCCTCATTACCCTCACACGTTTGTTAACAAAACGTGCAACGCTGTGTTATTAACTTTTGAATTTACTTTTTGTTTCAGATTAACACTGTTAAAAATGAAATTGAGTTCGTTTACTTAGTACGTTTTAGAGATCTATCTATATACTAATACGTGAAGCAAAAACTTTGTATCCCTTTTTACGAAAATTGCGCGGACGGAGGAGTATGAAATTTCCCACACTCATAGAGAATATAGAGAAGGAGTGCAGAATGTTAATTTTTTTTTAATTATGCATAAAATATACATTAGTTTAATTAAAAAAAACCTTACACATACTACCATGTATTTGACACACACACATGCATACTGTTTGTTTGTTTTCAAACTTTTCTTATTCTTCTTATTGCTGTGGTCAAATTGAGAATAGATTAAATATTGTTGGTATTTATGAATATTTGTCTAAAGTGTGAGTAGTTTTAGCGAAATCTGTGATTATAGAAGTAGAATAAATACTCTTTGACAATATAATAACAATAGTGTACAAACTTACAATTACATTTAATTAAAGTCGAATTTCGACTATCGATGGATCACTAGTATATATAACATTGAATTGCTCTTCGTTAGTCTCGCTAAAACTCGAGAACGGCTGGACCGATTTGGCTAATTTTGGTCTTGAATTATTTGTGGAAGTCCAGAGAAGGTTTACAAGGTAGATAAATATGAAAATGCTCTGAATTAAATAAAAATATCAATTTTGTTTTCCTTTTGATGTGTCCCCCGTTGGACGGATTCTTTTTGTTTGTTTTAAGTTTATTTTATACAAAAGTTTAGGTCTTTTATTTATCGATTGAGGCACTACGAAGTCTGCCGGGTCAGCTAGTATACTAGTTAGAGGAGCTGAAAATACCTGTCAGCAACGCACTCCACCAAGCTACAGAACAGGATCGATGGAAACAGGTGGTTGACGGAATCGGAGGGAGTCACAATCCTCAACAATGAGGGACTGATTGAAGAGAGAGAGAGAGAGAGAGAGATAAAGTGTATATGAACTTAGATTCCGTAATGTAAAACGAAGGCGGCTTTTTAATATCAAACGAGGTCAATGATCCTTGTTGACTTTGATTAAATAAATAAATAAAATAAATAAATATATACTAACAATCACGCCACGTTAACTGGTCCCGTGATAAGTTCGTAAAGAACTTGTGTTACAGGTACCAGATAACGGAAATAAATGTAAGATTTTTATTATACACATACATATATTTAATAGACATCCATAACCCTGGAAAAGACATTTATATTTATCATACAAGTATCTTCCCTTGGCGGGATTCGAACCCGCGACCCCCTTGTGTAGTGACCATGTCACTTACCACTACACCAGACGGCCGTTTAACGTTACACTGCGTATTAAAATTATTTCGGCTACGATTTTTTAGGGTTTTTTTCCTATCTCTTCGCTGGTAGCCTGTAGGGCTGTTCTAGTCACGCGCGGACGGTTAGGCGAGCTTACGGGCTCAACTTGAGAGTTCCTAACATCAGTCCTAGTTCCTATCAAAGGCATTGCTTTTCCACCATCGAAATTTACCACCGGAATCGCGGCCCACTGACAAGATCCGGCAAAAACATCAGTGGGTTATCTATGGATTAGTTACAAAAGCTCCTCGTCGAACTTTTTCGAAGTTCCGCGACCAGTGCTTGAAGAGCCCAAAAGCACCGAGAGTGGATCCGGGGGATCCGGCAAGACGTATCGTCTTTTCGCATTAAAAGTGTACAATTTCCAAAAATATTCGAAATTGAGTTAATATGCGGAATCATTTGGTATTACCAATATTATCTCATCTCATAAATACTGTCAAAAGAGCGTAGTTTAGTTTCAGTTTCTTTTTTAGTTTACCTATGCTTTGTCTACTATTAACAAAATTAATACATAATTTTATCTTACTTTAAAAGAAAGATAATGTAACTGCTTGTTCTTGATTGTGAATTTCTCAGACTGTATTTCCTTTGTGTTTTGTTTCTTAGTGGTTTGTGAAGTCTGCCGTTAAATTACAAATACTATTGAATTCTTTTTGGTTTTAATGCAAAATAATATTGTACACAATTGCGCGTCTTGTAGCTGTTGAGTCCCGTTCAGAAGTGAAGGTGGTTGTCTGTGTTCGCGCTGCGGAGCTCGCCGGTCCGCCGGTTTGCCGCCCACTCCCGCGCCGCGCTGCCTCCGTCTTTCCCGACTTCGCGAAAGAGGAGTTGATGCGTCAACACTGCTAAATAATGAAAAGTTAATGTTGCAAAGAATATTAATATTAAAAATATCACATGTTAAACCTTTAAAACACTCTCGTGTAAAATTAGTA